CGTGTCCGTGGTGGGTGTGGGTCTCGGTCAGCGGTACCTGTGTGGGGGAAGCCCGGTCATTACGAGACGTGCGTGGCACTTACCGGGTCTGCGCGCTCCAGCGCACAGTGGAGTCTGCCTGTCTTCCCGCTAGGAGTCCGTTGTTATCGCCCTGTTAACGAGCTCCAAGCTCGGATTATCTCGTCTGTGACACTTCCAGAACACACTTACCGATTTCTGAGATTATATTGCCGTGGCAGGGGAACATTTGTATACATGTTTAAATATATGAGAAATACTGAACATTAATTTTATAACAAAATCACGGGTATCTTTAGGTTCAGGGAACTAGAATAGGCCACTCGGATAAGTAGGGTCGATAGTTACGTTCATTTGTTAAAATATTCTAATGAAGTATGTGAACTAAAGTGCTGATTTTCTGAGATAAGATTCATGGGACACGGGTCATATAACAATATTTTCTATTTTGTTTTGTGAAATTGATTCTGCCTTGTTTTTAATTGTATCATTGAAGATGTATTTTAAACCAAAGGGATTAAATTTTATATGTCTATTTCGTAATATGTCATTTCCTGTCATTCAACTGGACTGACTCAGTTAAAGAAAACTTGAGATCTGAGGCTGTTCGAGCTGGGCCAGCAGGTCGCTCGGAGGTGACGGTGTTAGACCCCACGTGGCACCAGCAGCTTGAAACACGCTGGGCATGTGTGCGTGCGTGCCCAGACTCACGAGAGGACAGTGGACGGGAGGGACTGCGGTCTGGCCATCCCTCCTCAGGGTGGTTTCTCACCTCTCTCCTCTGTCTCTCTCTCCTGTGAGCACACACACCCTGTAGCAAAACACTATATAGACACTTGTATATCTATATATATAATATATAACAGTATTATACACATACATAAGAAACATGTTATATACGTGTGCGTGTGTACAACATAATTAGCACCATCTCCTATTTCTCGATGTAGACTTACGTCGCTTCCTTCATGGTAATTTTTTCTTAGAGATGTCTGAAGTCTAAATAACTATTAGGTAAGGAAGCTCCTAATAACTTCTAACTCACATCAGAATTAACCCTTCCAAAACTGCAGGCAAATTTCATACCTAAACTTAGTGTTCCTAGTTTTTTTTTTTTTTTTTTTAAGAATTATTTTGTTGGGACCAGCAGATGGCGTAATGGCTATGTCACTGGACTCCCATGTAGTCGACCGTGGTTCGAGTCCCAGACCC